GTAACAAGGATAGTGTGGGGGGAGCAAAGCATGGTCATGTTTTCAAGACTGTCTTTTAAAGGTCTTGATTAGACCCTGGTTCCACCCCAGCAGAGCTAGGAGACAGAAACACCAGGACTTTAAAAAGGAAGATTGGCCAAATATTGGAAGCTTGGATCCTTAATTAACTGACTTTTTTTTCTTCTGAGCTCTGCTGTTCAGAGAAAGACTTTCTAATTAAACTACTCTGTTTGGTGACTATCCTCATTAATTAAAGTAGTAGGTTCTAGTGCTGAATTTTTTTCTTTTAATTTATATTTTACATCAATTTATAAATATGACAGTTACAACCGACCATTTTAAAAGTATAGCCTTTCCCTTTTTCTTTTTTCTTACCTGTTCCCCTCCATCTCTTCTCCTCTCCACCCTCATCAGTGCCCAGACTGCCCACCAGTAACCCTAGGTGCTAGGTGCTAATGTGTGTACTTCCACTCTTTACTGGAGCGCGCGCGCTCTCTCTCTCACAATCTACACACAACCAGTGGAATCATATTATACATACTTTAATGCATCTGGCTTTTCTTAATATCTCATGAAAACCTGTCCAAGCCAACTGTGTGGCTCTAAATTATTCTTTTTAACAGCTGCAGATCATCTCATGATTTAGCTATACTATTGATCTAATGTGGATATTCTTTCCCTAGGCTTTCATTTATCAACTGTGCCATAATAAACATTCTTGCGCTATGCCAGTGTTTCTTTGGGATAGATTCATAGAGGTGGGATTGCTGGATCAAAGGACAGCATAGTTCTTTTCTCTCTTTCCTTTTTAATGAAGAGATGCTGCTAGACTGTTTCTAACTTGCAAGTGACCTTGCAGACTCATTTTTCCTCTCTGGACCTCTTGTTTTCTCCTAAAGCAGGCATGTGGGACTGTAGATGACCTTGACTGTCCTTCGCAGCTTATTCTAAACTTCTCTGCTTCTGTGCCTGCACCCACTGCCCCGTGTTCTGCGGCAGTGAAGTGAGGACCATCACTCCTGCTGACTCAGGGATGAGCATCCTGCCTGTCTGAGTCTCCGGGTTTTTAGACCTACGTTTTTTGCACACAGATTAGTTCCTGAGATGAACCACTGATTTCCAAGTACGAGCTCTTCTGAAGTGCTATGGTGAGCTTGCCTTGATGAGTTCGAGTCTCCCTGACACCGGGGTCCATAGGAGAACAGGACAGTGCAGCTGATTACAAAGCTCTAAGCTCTATTGTTTATGTTGTGATTTGCCCGAGAACACACTCCTAGCAGCCTTTGTGTTTGAACACTTTTTCAGAACGCTCCCAATTTTCTTTTAATGAGGATACATACTTGATTATTGCCTGACGAAACCACTGAATGGGGAGGGGAAATGATTATCTACCTGGTGAAGCTTTCTATTCTGTGCATGTCTCCCCATATTCAACCTTCTGGACCAAGGAGAAAGAACTGTTTTATTTGCCAAATCTGAGGACCTTCAAAGAGATGATTCTCCCAGATCGAATAATAACGATCGGTTACGGGAGGCATACCAGGCAGCCGGCCCCGGTCTAGGCACTTCACGCACATCCTCTCACTCAATCCTGGAGGTAGGTTAATCTTATTTTTATCCCCATTTTATAGATGAAGGATTTCCCCTCAGGCCGCAGAGCTAGGAGGTCGTGTAGTCTGTGTGCAGAACCCACATTCTCAGTAGAGAGCTACGCTGCAGTAGAGCTGGGCAGTGGTGGGCAGTGGGGCACAACTACTGCACGGCTGCTTGGCACTGTCACCCCAAACCCACACTGAGGCCTGGCGTCCACCAGCGGGAGAGGTTCTGGGGGCTTATGGCTCCCACGTCAAAATCACCTGAGCACCGACACAGGTGCTCGCAGCAGACCCGGTGTGGGGGGTGGAGTGGCGAGCGGGGCTCAAGGCCTGGCTCTCTGGGCCGACCGCAGGCAGGTGTCCTCGCCTTTCTGTCAAACTGGCCCGGGGGCTCCTCCTGGCCGCTGCTGCCCCAGGACGGGAGGGACGAGGGGCTGAGCCCAACGGGGGAGTGGGTAAAACACCCCTTTCTCTGCCTCCTCCCCCCTCCCCTGGGGCCCAGGAGCGCAGCATCTTGAATGCGAACGTCTGCCCGCCAGGCCCTCTCCCGTCTGGGGACGGGCGCGCGTCGGGCCGCCACGGACGGCCTGTTTTTCAGTGGACTGCCCACCCCCATACTGGCAGGGTTTTCAAAAATAGCTATTTATTTGCTTATCTACANATTTGCTTATCTACAACGGGGGGGGGGGCACGGAATGATCGAGGGCAAAATCAATTACTATTTTTCATGTTTGACAAAGTAATTAAGGTCATAGTGACTGGCTAATTCCAGCCGAATGGCTGCGCCGTGATGGATGCGAATTTACTGCCGCCCGGGCCGCGCGCCGCCCGATTATCACTCCGCACAGGCGGCGGGGC